TTGATAACGCGAGTGCCAGCAAGTCAAGCGTTAATGGCGGCACGACTTCGTCGCGGCCAACACCTGTGTCGAATCGTGGGAACTGTGTCGACCACGACGACCTCCATTACGCAACATTTCTTTAAACTGTACTAACATTACGCTGTGTAAGTCGAATCGCAGACTGTGACCACCCTAGCTGCGGCGTTGGCTGCTCTTCTCCTCGGGATCCGGCTCGAAGGACCAAATGTTTGTTTTTACTGCTTTATTGGTTCGTATGGGCTTACAAATGCTGGACAACACTTTACACAAAAAAAAGGCACAAGGGATAGTCGCTCTGGCGTGTAGTCGTCGTCTTCTTCTTCTCGTTCTCTGGTGTGGCATGCGACTGTCCTCACTGAGCCCTCGTACACGAGTGAGTCCCACCAGCCGAGCGCGGTGACGCACGAGATGGGGAGCCGGAAGAGAGCGCAGCGACTTACGTTGCATAGCAGGGAGCGGGTCCCCAATCGGTCGGTGAGAAAACCCGAACAACAATGTAATTGTTAAAATAACTACAGTAATAGCTAGCTTAATCCATGCACCTTTGCTGAAAATCTTATTTTCAAGGACTTCAGTTATTCATTCTTACTTTCACATTTCAATGGTGAATGAGATTTTTTAATGTTTATATTTATATATGACCAAGTATTATATAGAGTGTCACACTTTCAACGTACCACCTACGTTTTCTTTTTCTTTTCAAAAATTCAAACATTTAAAACACATATAGTTTTAAAAAATCTGTCTATAACAATTATAACAATATTATATATAATGAAGTAGACTAACCTTTGACCGTAACCAATTTAGAAAAATTAACATTGTTTTTGTGTGTGAAAGAGTGTATTATTGTAGTGCTGCTTTTCGGCAGTTACTATAATAATAATAATTGCATAATGGTATCTAAAATTTTAAAAACGCTTATAAAGCTTTAATGATTATATCCTTTAATGTAGAAAAACAAGAAATAAAGAAAAAAAAAAAAAAAACCCCGGGATGAATGGGTCATGGTACCCACGGTAAGAACGAAGTTCTTTAAACATGAGATGAGTATAGACACAATTTCTTAGGTAACAAGGGGGTCGCCAGACCCACGGGAAGAACGAAGCTCTGTAAACGTTAGTACTGCATTCATGTTGTTTACTAAAACAAAAACTTGAAAAACGAATAAAAANACAGAATAAAAAATTAAAACGAAATAAATGTCAAAGCTTAATTTAAAAGATAATAATCTCTGAAATTTTGAATTTATGTAAATAAAGTGTGCCATATTAATTTGAAGTATTAATCATTTTAATAAAAATTACCAAAGCCAACTTAATAAGTAGGGAAAGCTGCCCCTTGACACTTTCGAGAAGCTGCTCGTCTACGGTGAGATAGCAGCTCTACTAGGTGGAAAAGGGACACTACAATAGAGCAATAATAGCATTTCTCTTCTGTATCTGAAGGAGTTTTCCCCACCAATTCTCTTTTGGAACAGTGCGCGCAGCGCTAGTCATTAACTCGAATAGTCCAACTGCAGTTAGCAACGACAGCGTTTAGTATTAGTACAAGCAGTAATTTTTGCGACCCCAGCTGTACAAGTAGCACACAGAGCGCATATCGAATTTATACAGTAATCAGTTCGATATTCTTCAATCGCCAGTGTCAACTTTGTTAAAGAGGCAGGATTTCAAACAATTATTTGTATTCGAATTTCTTGTTCTAAATTATCATGATTAATGAGAAAACACCAAACTATACCGAGGAAGAAGTACTCGCAGACATTGAAAAAGTTATACGGGATCTTTTAGCTCCACGATCTCTTCCCCGTGCAACTTCTAACAATAAAAAGCTTGTCTTACCAATCCATCAAAACTACGGTGACAACAGTCCCTTCAAAGTTAAGGCGCAAAAGGTAAAAGACCAATTCTATATTAAATTATTACTGTTTTTTTAGAACGAATTTCTTTATCGCGGGTTACGATGGGATAATATAGACTTCTTGTGTATCTCCTATGTATAAGAGTGGTTGGAAACAGAGAATCATCTGACAATAAGTGTAAGAAAAAATCGTGCACTTCTAGAGAGGGGGTGCACTTTTACAGAAGTTAGACGTAACTCAGAGAAAAAGAGAGGGGTAGCCGTAGACGGAGTAAGGAAAGAGCGTGCACTCCCATTTTTGCTGGCTGAAGAAAAAATTTAGAATTGAAGATAATGTGATTACGGATTAAATGCAATAAGAATTTTAACAACCGAATGTTATTTAAATGAATAGGAGAACTTTTCCGGTTGACATGCATCAATACGACACTTATACCCGTCTAAGCTCAGGTGCTAAAATCACATTACCAGTACACTTACAAGTTAAAGGGATTAAAAAAAAAAAATATTTATAGAATCAATTATTATAAAAGTATAAATTCCAAATTAATGTATGACAACGACGACGACAACGACAACGTTTCTTACGTCGATAATTGTTATATAATCTTTTATACGTACTTTTGTATTTAAAACTAAATTATATGTTATAAAGAAATAATGTAATAACTAACGTGGGGAGTAAATTGAATTAATAAGTACGCTAACTTTAACTTTGCTCAAAAAAATCAAACAAAAATCTTAGCCTTGAAGAAATTATGATTGTCGCTTATTTTCGAGTCGCATAGTACATTGCGCATCCTCGAACCCATTTAGAAAGGAAGGGTATAGAATTTTCTAGACAACATGCTTACAATCATTAAGAACAGAGCCAGCACGAGTGCCGTACGTGCCGTCTGATTATTATATTTTCCCGGTTATCACCACTAAAAAGAGATGTTTGTTTAAAATTAGATCTCATTCCCTGACACAGGCTTTTTTAACATTTAAATGTTTACTGCGAGATAAATACTGCTCGGAATCTATATAACAGCAATATTATTTTACCCCCTTGAGGTATAGCTATCCGTAAAAGTAATTCGTAGAAGCAATTCGTATCCAGTTTGTACATATTTTGGTTTGACATTCGTTTTTTCTTTTTATATGTTTATTTAATCAGGCACTGCCTATGGATTGTATAGGATCAAGCCATTTATCGATTTCTCGCGTTTGCATACTAAAGTAAAAATGGTTTCGTTCAAGCAAACAAAGTTTTGTCGCCACGTCAATTTGATGGTTTGATTATTGCTTGACGCGGTTGTTCTTTTACCAACAAAACAAAAAATCGAACTTTGATTAGTGGGCACTTTAAGTTTTTCATGGAAAATAATCAATAACATGGACGAGTTATCTTTTTCAAACTCTCATTAAAATTTTTAATATAATCAAGACCTCTCAGTGATGAACTTAATATGTCAATGGAATATAAACAGATCCAATAAATGTGCTTTTTCTTTTGATCGTATTTTGTCTTTTTCAACGTGATAAAATATAAAGCACGATTTCTCTTCACCCCTGCCCTTACGTAAATTTTGGTGATGTCGTGATCAGCTCGCATCCATTGTTATACTACGGCTAAAAGAAAACTTTAATTTTCATTTGTAAATATATTGGGCTTACCACAGAGAATAATCAATGACATTAAGACGTATCTTTACAAAAACAAAGCATAAGATGTTAAGGTTTAAGGCCTTAGCACTCGTCATTTGCTGATAAAGCTTCTTAACGATTATTCAGATATTTTAAAAGAGCCAAAATGTAGTAATAAATAGTTATTATTTTGACAGGTGCCTAGTTTTTTTAAAGGTAACATTTCTGTTAAATGAAACAATTTGTGTCTAAATTTTGTCTCGAAAATTATCATTGTATAATTTAGTTACACAAAGTTTGAAATATAGGAGTAAGCTTTTCTAAAGTAGTATCACATTTATAGTACCAAATAAAAAAGGTATTTAAGTGACAGTTCAAAAATATCCTGCAAAATCTGAGACTCTTACTTGATATATTTTAATCTATACGGTAAAGTTTTTATAAGACGGTATTAAAAATTGTTTTAAAAGAGACCTCCGTACTGAAGACCTTCTAAGAAGATTTGACAGTAGAACATAATAAATATTTTATAATTTATTTAAGGAATTTCGTCAAAATACTTGAAAAAAAAAAACTATAATTTTGAAAAATTTTATGAAGAATTGTTTATGTTATAACAATAATAAAAAAACTTAACTAACATTTTTTAATAAATGTACATGTAAAATGAGTGCGTGTGTTTGTGTGTGTATGTGTGTGTAAATTGGCTGGTACTAAAAAAAGGTTTGTTTGGATTAGAATATTTTTAAACTTACTGATTAATATGCCAACGGATATTAATCGTTTTATCTAACCAATCCAATAAACAAACAGGAAGTAAATCATAAATAAAAATTAAGTTACAAACCACAGTATGACAAAAAGTCAGATGTAGCCTTAAAAGATTCGTTAATAGTGAAATAGCTCGTAGAATACTTGGCTCACGTAAAGGTCACCGGTTTATTTGTAACAGAATAAAAAATTAAAACGAAATAAATGTCAAAGCTTAATTTAAAAGATAATAATCTCTGAAATTTTGAATTTATGTAAATAAAGTGTGCCATATTAATTTGAAGTATTAATCATTTTAATAAAAATTACCAAAGCCAACTTAATAAGTAGGGAAAGCTGCCCCTTGACACTTTCGAGAAGCTGCTCGTCTACGGTGAGATAGCAGCTCTACTAGGTGGAAAAGGGACACTACAATAGAGCAATAATAGCATTTCTCTTCTGTATCTGAAGGAGTTTTCCCCACCAATTCTCTTTTGGAACAGTGCGCGCAGCGCTAGTCATTAACTCGAATAGTCCAACTGCAGTTAGCAACGACAGCGTTTAGTATTAGTACAAGCAGTAATTTTTGCGACCCCAGCTGTACAAGTAGCACACAGAGCGCATATCGAATTTATACAGTAATCAGTTCGATATTCTTCAATCGCCAGTGTCAACTTTGTTAAAGAGGCAGGATTTCAAACAATTATTTGTATTCGAATTTCTTGTTCTAAATTATCATGATTAATGAGAAAACACCAAACTATACCGAGGAAGAAGTACTCGCAGACATTGAAAAAGTTATACGGGATCTTTTAGCTCCACGATCTCTTCCCCGTGCAACTTCTAACAATAAAAAGCTTGTCTTACCAATCCATCAAAACTACGGTGACAACAGTCCCTTCAAAGTTAAGGCACAAAAGGTAAAAGACCAATTCTATATTAAATTATTACTGTTTTTTTAGAACGAATTTCTTTATCGCGGGTTACGATGGGATAATATAGACTTCTTGTGTATCTCCTATGTATAAGAGTGGTTGGAAACAGAGAATCATCAGACAATAAGTGTAAGAAAAAATCGTGCACTTCTAGAGAGGGGGTGCACTTTTACAGAAGTTAGACGTAACTCAGAGAAAAAGAGAGGGGTAGCCGTAGACGGAGTAAGGAAAGAGCGTGCACTCCCATTTTTGCTGGCTGAAGAAAAAATTCAGAATTGAAGATAATGTGATTACGGATTAAATGCAATAAGAATTTTAACAACCGAATGTTATTTAAATGAATAGGAGAACTTTTCCGGTTGACATGCATCAATACGACACTTATACCCGTCTAAGCTCAGGTGCTAAAATCACATTACCAGTATTTAAATTAGTAGAATAAAAAATATCAATACGATATACACTAGCTAATAAAATTATTTTAATAAAAATCGTTTTTAAAAATTTTTGCATAAATGGCAGATCAATGTAGATAGTCGGTATTGATAAAATCAATAATTGTAAAATAGTGTAACGAACCAATATTACAAAATACGCTAAATCTTAAAAAGGAAATAAGATAGAGCAAAAATATCAAGTTTTACTGGTTTTTTTTGGATAAAATAATATCGTGACACACAAAGAAATAGGCGTTAAGTTATGTTAAGACATTACCTAAAATATCCGGCCTTAAAATATTTTTTCATAAAATCAAGATGGAAAATTAGTGAGAATATTAAAGCTAATTTGCAAAATTGTTACAAATATGTAGGATTTCTTTCTTGTTTTTTGCCTAACAATAACCTTAAAAATTATTTTAAAAAATTTCTCGAGCCTTTTATTTATAAAAATATGTACAGGAAAGACATAAATATACCACCGTAACTAACGAGAAAAAAAAGGGACTCCTAGTCCTACACTCTGGTTTTTTAGATAAACTCTATGTAATTTAATGATCGATGATTTTTGTAGGAAGATTTTTATAAAGAGGTAGACTGCACAGGATTTGCTCAGAAAGAAATTTACGTATTCGTAAGTATCGTTTGATTTTATTCGTCATACATATAATTTAAATGATAGATAAAAATACAAAAAGAATTATTAATAACAATGACATAATATAAATAGCAAAAAATGTACTCAATAAATTTTGTTTCAACTATAGGTCGAAGACAAATTAATCGTAGTCGAGGGTATACATAAAAATGTTCAAGATGAGCACGGTATTGTCTATAAAAATTTGTCAAAGACGTTTCCCGTCTCTGAAAACTACGATTTCAATGATGCTCAAATAAACTTAGTCTCAGACGGTACATCAACTATCTACATTCCTCGTAAGGTTGAATCATTAGCGAATGAGGACTGTGGCATCAAAAGTCTATACAAAAATAAACCAACTAAAGAAATACAACTTCAGTCAGAAAAATAATATTCTTATGGTATTTCATGATTTCATCTGTCTAAACTTCTAAATAAATTATAAAAACTACAAGAAGCATTTAATATTTTTCATGTTGTTGATATATATAACCATATTATGTCTTTTGTATGCACAATTTTATGCAATAAATACACTCCCATGAAATGGTGGAATTTTATAGCGTGTATTAATAAGTCCTTTAGCAGAGAATACCGACTAATTTCTTTCCGATTTTATTTGTATATAATATTTGACAGAATCATGTAGTTGCAAAAAAAATTGTTTATCATACGTTTCTAATACGAGACACAGAAAGCTTTATCTGAAAATAGGCAACAGATATCCTAATAAAATATTACTAATTATCATATTTTCCATGAGAAAAGGAATAGAGGCGAGCAATAATAAAGTAACAAATTTATACAATCTTTCTATTACATTTAAATATTATAATATGCGAACACTATATCCTAAGGCAAAAATGACAAGTCAACAGCACAGGGAGTCTAAACTTATTTGTTAAAAGTGTAGCATTGAATTTCAAATGAGCTAACAAGGTCAGATTATTTAAATAATTTCACAAGATTTTAAGATGTATATTATGGTACAAGGATGTAACATGACAAGGGATGGCTTTGTCTACCACTATCTGTGCGGTTACATAATGCCGACGCCTGTCCTCCCCCCAGCAAATCTATTGGTGAGATTCAGGGTTTTAATACCTCTTGCACGACAGATTTTTATAAATTAAACTTTTTCATAATTGATTTTTGTGATCCTATGTATGCGCGCTACTTGATAAAGGACAGTGCTTTTTTTGTCCAATTAAAAAACGGAAAAGAATGTATTTCAGTGCAGAGGCCTTCCTGTTGCCAATAAGGTCCCCTCTTGCCCAAATCGGACTAGAGTCGCTACTCTCCTTCATATGTTTTTAATAAAAATCTACTGCCCCATGAGTTACGGTTACCTGCTATTACTCAGGCTTCATAGTCTTTCTTGACAGTTTTACCAAAACCACCGCGCTGGGAAGGAACGATGCACATGGCCAGCCCCAGAGAACAACTTGTGAGTAAACCTATTATATGGCATTGTAGTGTGTCAGTATAGTAAATGCTCTGGTGAAAAAGTTGTAAAGGTCACTGTTTCTTAAACAAAGTCCTATGGAATGCTATTTGATTTGACGCCTTCTCATACGATCCAAGCTGCCAGCAGCGGGATCTCCGTCAAGGTCCTGCACACCCTAAAGGAAGGTTATTAAAATTAATACTAGTTATTATTATTGTTATTTTTATATTTATTACTCGTACCATATAATTTTTTAATATTCTTATAATTACTATTCTTGTCATTATTAGTGCTGTAATAACTAAAAAAAATAGAACATTAGTAACCTTAATACATGAGGNGTATGGAGGAGTTGCATAGCTGTAGCTGTTTATATCTTCGTTCAATTTACTTCAACAATGAACATTAAAGTGAGCGTCGCTCTGTAATTTTGGGTATTGTAAAGAACTTTTGTCTTGCGTAAAATGCCGAAATATTATACAAGGCTTCGTTTATTTCGTGTTTTTTTAGTTATAAATATAATGGTCCATATTTTATCGTATAAAACGATTTTTGCTCTGGAAGTAACACTTTTGCCATTAAGTACAAAGACTAGTGCCCTTTCTTAAACAAAAATGTATTGAGTTCTCTGTACTTAACAAGTATAAAGTATTGTTCTCTAAATATTTATTATCGCTCGAAGAAGAATTAACAATAAATGATTCAACAGACATAAGTAATTCATAAAAACTAGACTTTTGTATAAGAAATGAGACTTAAATATGATAATTAAAAAAAAATTGTATATTATCATTTAAACTATCTTTTAACTAGCGTTTCTAGCGATGAAAAAATTTACGATATTTAGTAATCACTTTGAAAACACGTAAGAAAATCACACATACATCCAATTGAAGGTACTACTCACAACGATGATAAAGAAAAATTTTAAATTGATAAATAATTTAAAGTTATTACTATGCTATTACACGCAATGGCCCGCACACATTCCATCGTATATTTGTAATTTATTGCTTGAAATTACGGATAAGACGTTACAAAAGCGTAAGATAAAACAATACGGCAATGATGCTATTCGTTTATGTTGCGTTGATGTACACAGATATAGAATTTGGATCAGAGATACTAAGAAAAAGCTAGAGTTTACAAAAAAATTTTTAGATTTCTTTCCATAACCAACCCATGACAGGAACATCCCCTTTCCAAGAATCAAAAGTTAATCTCTTTATAATCATTTTATCATTGTAAACGTCTCAAGTGACTTTAGAATTTGGTAAGTGTATAATGAACACAATTTTTTCAACCTGTTTATAATGAAGAATCAAACAAATTCAAACTATTCTGTAGAGCAGCTTTTATTGCTTTGCAAAAATCATTTGTAAAATAACTAACTGTGATAACCGGAAGGAATGTATTGATAACAAAATTTTCAAAGAAATTTCCGCGATTTGGATATAAGGATAGGAGGTTTATAAAATACTTTTGATGTATAATGGGAAAGACTAGAAGGTAACAAGTTATAAGGATTAGGTCTTACTGTTATATTTTGAACGCAAGCAATTGACACATTAATTAACGAACAGACTGAGAAATAAAGAACTCGCTCAATAAAAGCTGAGCGGAATTTAACGAAAAAATTACTGGAGACCATATACTTTTGCCAAAAAGTGATGTATATTTTAATTAGTGACGGTTTTTGAAAGTTGCCTAACCTATTTCGTTGCTATATGCATACCTTTTGAAATAAAAAATAATAAAAAACCTTTATGCTTGATTTTATTTTAAAAAATAACGTATTTTTACTTATTTTCGAAGCCATAATATCGATTACAACACTGTTGGTTTGGAAAGTTCTTTCACGTCTACTATTAAATTTAAATGATTATTTATATCATTTGTTGAATCATTACTTGAAACAAATGAAACAACTAAAAGAATAACTACTAAAAACGATGATGGTGCCATTTTTAATATGGAATAATGAAAAAAAAGATTTAAAAAAATTGATGTATTTATATCACAGTAAAAACGCGTCGTAAGATTGTGAAACCTTCTAACTGTTAAACTAGTCAATTTTACTTAAGTTTAAAGACAAAAAGTTCAACTGACTTATTCTGATTCGTGTGAACCAATTAAAGTCTTTTGTTCGACCGTTTGATCGGATATAAAAATACTAGGATTGTTGGGATTGGGGAAAAGCAGTGGCCATATGCCTAATTATAAATTGTATCAAACCTCGTAAATAAAATTTTGTAGTGCTTAATAATTAATTTTAGAGCTCAATAAATGTACTTTTTTGATAGACCAAGCGGTGCTAAATGTATAAACGGAGTTTAACGAAAACATGGGTGTATAGAGAAATGTGTTTTTGTGTATCTATGTTTCCGCGTATGTAGAGCGATCAATAAGGGGGTAATCATTTTTCTTCTTACCTCGGGCGTTTTTGAGATGCTGGTGTGCCCTCGGTAGAAAAAATAGGATTTTTTACTCAAGCACTATCGCACCGTGGCTACCTTACGTCTTTTGGGCACTGCTTTGCAGGTCCCTCGGGCTGCAAAGTAGCTCCGGGACGACGGCACTTATCCGATGAAAACAATGGAATGAAGAATAAGGTTTTTTAAAAATAATACATAAAAACTTTAAAATCTACAGCATCCTTATTTGTATTTACTATATATTAAAGAATCAACAAAACTGATTTTCTAGTTCTCTTATAAATATTCGTTAAAATTTGATCTACTCGTAAACCTTGATGCAATTTTCCATTAAATTTTACTAAATTTAAAATTGAAGTTATAATAAATAGAAAACATATTACAAATACTTTTATAAATCCAAAGGTATACCTGAAAAAACTTATGCAAACGGAAACTGCTTCTAATATTGTTGGTTAGAAATGTATTTAATCGTCTCGCTTATCTGATCTTAAACGATGGACAATAAAGTTAGACNTACATCGTAACTAGAATTTCTTGACATAGTGGAATTATCCTTCCTTACTCCAGATTTCTGACGCTTAGGTTCACTATCTCCAAACAGTTGGTGGTACTCTGTAGATATATTCATTACTGACATCAATTCATCCATGACTCTTGATGGTAAATCGTAATTGTAAATATAGTTTGATTGTTTTGGATGTAGTAGGTCCAGATAAATGATTAAAACAAGAAATGCATTTAAGAGAACAGCTATTTAAAACTCATAACGTACTTTTCATATTTTTTCAGATACCACTTTTATCGAGACTTTAGTCAAATTTCTCCTCTTTTTAAAGAGAACTCGTTGATCTTTGACATTGAGGCGAGTCGTTGGATTCCACTAAAGGTATTCGCGTACCTGAATCATGTTACCATTTGATTCTGTGGAGAACAAGTCATTTATATCAGAATTATTCCCACATTTCACTAACATTTCTACAACAAAGTTCAAGCTCAATCAATTGTCTTGTGGGTTTCGGCAGAAATTACTCAATGACTCCGTCATCGAAGTGTGGAATAATCATAACCACACGTAAGAATCAATTATCTCTGTCGTTGTAAAATGCATGAAATTTTCAAAATCATCTTCGGTTTTCAACAAAATGACAAGTAATAACTTTGAACTCTTCCACATGCTGAAACTTCTTGTACATTTTTTTACAAAGAATCTATTAAATTCTTAAAAATATAGGGTTAACCACTTTACTTAAGAGAAAATCAGAAGAAAAGTATGAAATTTAATCTGGCTTGTCTCGCAACATCCCTCAATTTTTATAATTATAATTTGACGGTACTATTCTGGCAATTTCTTGATCTTGTACTTTGGTTTTTTTATCGAAATAATTATACTTAATAAAAAATTTACCGTCGAAAAGCGTTGATTTTTTAGGGGCCTCATGGCATCCTACCCTAGGTACGGTACCAACCACCTAAGATACGTTAAAGTGAGGCAGTTACAGCGTTGCA